GGCAGGCATGCTTTTTTTGAGAGCACAGGTACATCGTGGAGATTTTTCTGTGTGATGTAAGCGTTTTAGGGCGTTTGTTCATCTGCAATACGTCTCTAAAACGTTTCCTGTAATGAATCCAAATGAATCTTTAACAGGTGTGTGTGTGTGTGTTAATTGTTTATCTGTACGTGTTGTCAAGTTAAAAGAAACAAAGAATAAAGGATTCAAAAAAGCATTAAAAGAGTAAAGCATTCTTTGCCATACCACTGAATCTCACAATTTTAAATGCAAGAAAGCATTCTGTGTGAATAGTTTCAGTTAAACTAGAAATGTAAATCCTCAGCCTCATGTTGTTCCTGACTATTGTTTATCTTCAGAAAAATGAAAAGTATGAAAAAATATATTGTGAAAGTATTTTTTATATTCTCTCATAATTTATGCTATTGATGTGTTGCTATATTTGGACTTTGTATCCATCATTTTCCTATGCCCCATGACGATTTGCACGAATTATGGGAGTAACTTCCCTTAAACTGTAAACAATCAGCAAAAGGTTTGCTCTGTGAATACAGTAATGTTTTCAAAAACTGAGTACAATATGAGGTGCCATTACTCTCTCTCTCTCTTCAATCATCGAGCATTAAAAGTGTAAAAGCATCAACAAATTACTTTCAGTTTACCATGAATGATCCCAAAAAGATTATTTCCAGCAAATTTACCATATTGAATATCACTGTAGTAATGTTTACATTAATATACGTTGACTTAATCAAAAATATTCATTAACATTAACATTGAGTGATAATATTTCAGACTGTGATATTTCAAAATGATTTCCATCATTTTTGACAAAAACTGAGTACAATATGAGGTGCCATTACTCTCTCTCTCTCTTCAATCATCGAGCATTAAAAGTGTAAAAGCATCAACAAATTACTTTCAGTTTACCATGAATGATCCCAAAAAGATTATTTCCAGCAATTTTACCATATTGAATATCACTGTAGTAATGTTTACATTAATATACGTTGACTTGAGTGATAATATGTCAGACTGTGATATTTCAAAATGATTTCCATCATTTTTGACAGATAACAAATTTTAATGCATCTGTGTGAAAAACTTGGAAAGAGACGTGAGGATTTGGGGAGAAAAAAAGGGTCAGATTTGTGGAGTGCATTCCAGTTAATTGTATCATCAGTAATATCACTGAATTGGGAGAGCAGACCACAGATGTGCAGTATATGTTGTCTTTTTGTCACATAGTTACAGCGGAATATAAAGGAGCTTTTGCCATAGATATTCTTGTTATACCATGTCACAGTAAAATGCCAAGTGTTTCGTTATTCCTCTGACTTAAAGGTGGGGTAAGCGATTTTTCAAAAACACTTTAGAAAACCGTTTCGGGGTGAATAGTGGGTTTGTCCCTATTTAACCCAGCACTGGGTTGTATTTAACCCAACATTTTTAGAGTGCACCTTTAAAATAGAACATGGAGAAAAATATACAGGCCTTTTAGTCAAACTGACAGATAAAGATTATTAATTATTTGAAGTGATTTGTCTTTTGAGTGGAACTTCACTCTAAAAAAATGCTGTGTTCATCTTGTTGGGTCATTTTCCTGTTTTTTCTTTTTATATATATTTTTTACCCAGGATTCTGGGTAGTTTTTCAGTAACTAAGCTGCTGGGTTATTTTTTTTTACCCAAACCGCTGGGGTGGAGCCTGCTGGGCTGTTTTTGTGTTACCCAGCCATTGGGTTAGTGAATTGGTGGGTCAGTCAATCTTACTGACAGCTAAAACTATACACCCCTCCTCTCAATCTGACGAAACAACCCAGCTGCTGAGTTCCATTAACCCAACATTTTTAGAGTGCACCTTTAAAATAGAACATGGAGAAAAATATACAGGCCTTTTAGTCAAACTGACAGATAAAGATTATTATTAATTTGAAGTGATTTGTCTTTTGAGTGGAACTTCACTCTAAAAAATGCTGTGTTCATCTTGTTGGGTCATTTTCCTGTTTTTTCTTTTTATATATATTTTTTTACCCAGGATTCTGGGTAGTTTTTCTGTAACTAAGCTGCTGGGTTATTTTTTTTCTACCCAAACCGCTGGGTTGAGCCTGCTGGGCTGTTTTTGTGTTACCCAGCCGTTGGGTTAGTGAATTGGTGGGTCAGTCAATCTTACTGATGCCAACCGCCGTAAAAATATAAGAAGAAGAAGTCAATCTTACTGACAGCTAAAACTATACACCCCTCCCCTCACTCTGACGAAACAACCCAGCTGCTGAGTTCCAGTCAGAGCGCGGGCTTTTTTTGAGTCCACTACAGGAGAGAGCGGTTCTCAGTGCCACCGATTTGGTGCACTTCTTCAGTGAAATAATAAAGGTTTGCATACATTTTGTTTGATTTATAAAGTCTTCACGGTGCTGTAAATTATATTTTATGCAATGCAACATACAAGAACGAGATGTTAGCTATTAATGCATCAGCAGTGGTTGTTTCACATGGTGGAAACGCCTTTTGCCTTGCATAACATAAACTGACTTTATTCGATATAAAACTTAATATAATTTAATGTTAACATCTGTATGTTTTCTAATTGCAGTTTTATGGGCAGGTTATGGAGTAGGTCACGGCATCTTTCAGCTACGAGTGAAATGCGAGGCGGCGGTCTGAAGTTCGCAGTTTCCCCAGCGAATAGTAGCCCATCACCGGCTCAGATTCCAGCGACGCACCGGCACGAGAATTAGCACTATTTCTGTGAAAAGGGATTAGAGAGAGCGGTTGAATAAACTTAAATTAAAGTGCTTCTTTTAAATGTTACAGTTTTTATTCCTATAATGCTTGTTAAATGTTTAAATGTATGTAATATTGTAAATTATGCTGTATTCACCCAAATAAATTCAATCTGTCTTATAGTTTTGTCTATGGGTGTTCTTGCTTATTAATAGTAATTACCGTAATTAGTAACTCTGTGTGTGATTTTTAATTTCCTGCCTATTTTAAGCCAGCAATATAGTCATTTTTAAACAATAGTTGACTTAAATAAAACAACCCAGCATGTTTGGTAAAAACACTTAACCCAACCAGCTGGGCCAAAATAACCCAGCATGTGTTCTGTCCAATATTTACCCAGCGCTGGGTTGCCAAATAACCCAAGTCGGGTTGTTTTTAACTCAGCATTTTTTAGTGTGTAGAAATGCAGTTGGCTTGCTATAGGAAAAAAATGGATACACACGTTAATCAATGATTTATTTATTTTTAAGAGAGTGAAAAATTAATTAAATTTCAGCATGTTCATCATTCTTTGGATTAAACCACTGGAGATGTATCATACATGTATGGATTACCTTTAGGGTACAAATGACTTGCATTGTATGGACAAATACAGCTTAAACCATTTTCAAAATATTTTTTGGTGTGCTTCACAGTGGAAAGGCCGAGTAAATGATGACATAATTTTCCTTTTTGTGTGATTTTAACTGAATAATTGATTTACACAACCCGAACAAGCCGAAACAACAGTGTCAATGACAGCAGAACTTTTTCACTTTTCTAAATTTCCCGATAAGCAAAGAATAATCATTGTTCAGTCTGACTGGGACTGAAGGGAAATTAAGTTCAGTCATCAATACACTCTTAATACTGAACATTTGGGCAGTATTAATAGTAAAAATGAAAATTTTTTCTCTGATTAAGTAAGCAAGTTGAGGCATCACCTGTAGTCTTCAGTTTATCCTGGTTCATCTCTGCTGCTGGTCAATCCTAGTTCTCCTACACAGTGATTCTCCATAAAAAAGACAAGATAATCCATGTTTTTTGGAGCAGAAAAAAAAATCACAGCTGAAGTTAAGGTATGACCACGAAGTGAAACTTGTGATGCACATGTCTCAGTGGTGACTGAACCAGCTTGACTGGTTATATTTAAATATTGCAAATGCACTCTGGCAATGGAAAGATTTGTGTACAATAGATAAATGTTTGTGCTTGTGTGTGTGTAAATAAAGTCCATGCAAATTGCAAAATTAACTTAACTATTTCTCTGTTTGTACAAAGCACACATTTTGTCGCTGTGAATTGTCTTTATTTCTTGCTTTTGTGAAATGCTGTGTTTATTAACCATGTCTGCTGGTCATGTGTGTTCATTACTGAGCTTTTTATCCTTGTGTTATGTTCAAATTCCTATAACACTTGTGCTGTTCCCGGTCAAAATTGACCGGCCTACAAAAAGAGCTTATAAATCTCTTGTTATGCAATATTACCACCAAAAATGGGATTCAATCTTTTTGTCAACTAGCTTTCTTTCAATTAGGACTGGTTTTGTATTTATATTTGGAACTGATTTATCGTAGGCCTCATTAATCTGAGTTTACATGCCTCAGTTTTTGAGTGAAAAAAACATTTGTGGAAAATTGTCAATATTAAATAATATATGAAAAAAGTGTTTTGCACAGTTTTTCACACTAGCATGCTCTAACCAAGACATTTTTGAAATGTTTATATCTTGTAAAAAAAAAAATAGCACAAAAGAACACTTGGGGTGTTCCTGGTGAAAAATGACCAGCCTACAAAAAAATAGCTTATAAATCTCTTGTTGTGCTATATTATCACCAAAAATGGGATTCAGTCTTTTTGTCTTGGTCTTGAAGTTATTGCCTGTGTCTTTAGGTTATGTGTGGTAAATATTTGTTATGAAAAAAATATATATGTTATGTGTGGTAAATATTTGTTATGAAAAAAATATATATGTTAAATGTTTCTGTACTGTAGCTCAGGAGACACTGTGTTGTTGGAGAAAGAGAAAGTGTATAATAATCCTGATTTGCAAGGCAAAAAATATTCATAACATCACATTACATGGTTAATAGTTCAGGTCATAACATTAGGTTTAATTATGTTTATACTCTCCTGTAAAATTTTAATTCACAATTGAATCACATCCACAGAGAAAAATCTGAGAAATGCGACATCAAATTATTATGAGATATTTATTTATTTTACATTTCACTGGGACATTTAGGGGCTGTCTTCTACTTCTTTCCAGATCTGACATAATAAAACAGCATAGCAACAGTAGCCACGCCCACCAGAGCAGAGATGACCAATCGGATCACAGCTTCAGTAAAACCACAGGAGTGACTGGAATCTGTGGAAACAAAAAGGTTACCGGCTCTGCAAGAAGGGATTGAAACATGAAATAGTACAAATGCCTTTCTAGTTTCTGACCTCAAACAAAGAACAGTGACTCACAATAGTTTACACTGATCAGCCACATCATTAAGACACCTGCCTAATATCGTGAAGGTCTCCCTCGTGCTCCCAAACAGCTCTGATGTGATGTTGAGCCATGGACTCCATAAGACATCTGAACTTGTCCTGTAGTGTCTGGCACATTAGCAGCAGATCATTTAAGTCCTGCAAGTTGTGAGGTGGGTCCTCCAAAGATCAGATCCATTACATAGATGCTCAGTCAGAACCTTTGAACCTTTGTCATGTTCCTCAAACTGTTCTTGAACAACTTTTTCAGTGTGTCAGGATGATCCTGCTGAAAGAGGCCAATGCCATCAGGAAACACCACTGACATGAAGGGGAGAACATGGTCTGCAGCAATCTTTAGGTAGGTTTATGTGTCAAAGTAGCATTCACGTGAATCTCAGGATTCAAGGTATCCCAGCAAAACATTTTCCAGAGCACAACACTGCCTCCACTGATCTGCTTTCTTCACATCTCACAGCGCATCTGCTGCCATCTCTTTCACAGATAAATGATTCACACGCACCTACATGCACCATCCATCTGATCTAAAAGAAAATGTGATTCATGAGGTAACTTTCTTCCATTGCTCCATGGTCCAGTTCTGACACTCACGTGCCCATTGTATCCGCTTTCGGCAAAACAGAGATCATCAAGAGACTCTGAGTGTCCAGTGAGTGTCAGAACTGGACCATGGAGCAATGGAAGAAAGTTACCTCATGAATCACATTTTCTGCGTTTACGTAGCCCCATACACAGCAAACTGTGATGCACAGTGAGTTCTGACACCTTTATATCATGGCTAGCATTACGTTTTTCATCAGTTTGAGCTCCAGTAGCTCTTCTGTGTGATTGAATTAGACGGGTTAGTCTTCAGTCACCACGTGCATCAATGAGCTTTTGGGCGCCAGTGACCCTGATGCAGATTCACCAGTTATCTTTCTTACTGGGAACACTTGAGATGCTCTGATCCAGTCATCTAGCCATCACTGTTTGGCCCTTGTCAAGTCATTCAGATATATTCACATTTATCCTGCTTCCATCACATGAAATTCAAGAACATCCTGATATATCTCACCCCTTGACAGATGCTGCTGTATTGATGTAATCAATGTGTTTCACTTCACCTGTCAGTGGTTTTAAAGTTGTGGCTGATCAATATATTGTTTGAATTATTATTATCAAGTCAGGTTTCACAGGGTCAGCTGTCTGTCTCAATCTCTTAATTTAGGATCATTTTTGTAAATGCAATCTTCCTAACTTAAATTCCACTATCATTATTATTTTGTAATGTTTATTTGATAAATACTGCACAGAATAAAACCACAATGAAGTACTGTACATTTAGAGAAGACTTAAAGGGTTACTTCACCCCAATATGAAAATTCTGTCATTAATTACTCACCCTCGTGTTGTTCCAAACCTGTAAGACCTTCATTCATCTTCGTAACACAAATCAAAATATTTTTGATGAAATCTGAGAGCTTTCTGTCCCTCCCATAGACAGCAATGTAATTACCACGATCAACGTCCAGAAACGTAGCAAGGAGATCGGTAAAATAATCCATGTGACATCGGGGGTTCAACTGTAATTTTACGCACCACACGGATACGTTGTTTTCGTTCAAATCAAAGCGTAAATAAACGTAGAAAACGTATCCGTGTGACGCAGCTGACACAGAAGCAATGTAATTACCACGATCAAGGTCCAGAAACGTAGCAAGGAGATCGGTAAAATAATCCATGTGACATCGGGGGTTCAACTGTAATTTTACGCACCACACGGATACGTTGTTTTCGTTCAAATCAAAGCGTAAATAAACGTAGAAAACGTATCCGTGTGACGCAGCTGACACAGAACAGCATACGCTGTTTACGTTCAGTGGAAACTCTCCAAAATGGCTCTACGGTGACGCGGATGAGACGAATTGTTGAATAAAGTCATTATTTTTGTTTTCTTTGCGCACACTCGTAGCTTCGTAAAATTACGGTTGAACCCCTGATGTCACATGGATTATTTTACCGATCTCCTTGCTACGTTTCTGGACGTTGATCGTGTAAATTCCATTGCTGTCTATCGAGGGTCAGAGAGCTCTCAGAATTCATCAAAAATATCTTAATTTGTGTTCCCAAGATGAACAAAGGTCTTACGGGTTTGGAACAACATGAGGGTGAGTAATTAATGACAGAATTTTCATTTTGGGGTGGAGTAACCCTTTAATTAAGTTGCATTCATATCTGTATAATTAAAAGTAATTCATTATTTTTGTTGGTGAACACAAAATATGAATGCCATTAAGAGATGTGTGGTATTGAACTTAACCTGTATTTAGTGGACAGCGTTCCTGAAAGCTGAATCGTGTCGTCTTGTTGCTGACTGGATTAGCAGACACACAATGATACACATCCTTATTTCTGTCTTTTATCTCCAGCGGGAGAGACAGAGTGTGGCTGAGGTCAGGGCTGCTGGTCTGATTCAGTCTTTCTCTCCCTTTATACCATGACAGAGAGACTCCTGGTCCATTCTCAGCTGAACACATCACTGCAGAAGAAAAACCTCCACCTGGAACAAAACAAGCAGCTGCACATTTCTGCAACACTAGTGAGAAATGAAGAAGAGAGGTTAGTTTTGAGCCCTAAAATGACTTGCAGTCATCATGCTGCCAAACCCTACCGTTCAATCAGGGTTGTGTTCCAGAAAGCAAGGCTAACTTACCGTCACATAAACCCTGAACCTTGCTTACTTTGGCTAAACACCTGTGAAGAGTTAGTTCAGTCGATCTCCTATTGGTAACCCTGAGTTAATTTGTGCACAAGGTGAGTACATAAAGACTTCTATACTTATACAAACCACTTTCAGGGCATCTCTTCTTAACTGTCCGTCTCTTGCACCTCCACCATGCTTATAGTTCTTTTTATTCGTGATTTAGTTCCTCCAAAGTGCAGTGGGTTGTGGACAATATCAGCCATTGGAGTGTGAACGGATCCACACTTGGGAAATCTATTGTAAAATATAGACCAAATAGGGACTTTTGGCATACTGTTTTCAGCATATGATGCTTTGGGACACACTTATTCTAATCTCACATACTATAATCGTATGCACCAGCAGCGAGGTCAGAAATTTTAGTGAGTGGAGCTTGGTGAAATAGAGTGAACCTCAGTACTTACTCTCAAACTAAAGTCCATCGTTTTACAATACATGAGATGAAAATAGAGATGCAGATTAAAATATATGCCTAAATTGAAAATAAAATGCGACTGTGATCTATTAAGCATCATGCATAAGTTTTGTGTCATATAACATTTAAAAGGTCTCAACTAGCAGAATACACGCGTAACTGTTTCAGGTAGAGACCAAACAATACTAAGTAAATATAAACATTCACACGCGTCTTTTGTGTCGCACTTTGGTTAGTAGCTTCAACAACTATAGTGAACCACACTAGATCACAGATATTCATTTAGAGCAGGTGCCCTCAATTCAAACGAGCCCAAACACAACATAAAACAACGATCTAGATCTAGATCTAGAGATAATCCTCACAGAGTGGCATTACATGCTGCTTTGCTGTACATAAATGGATCAAGTTGAACATATTATTTAGACAGGTTGTGAACCATGTTTTGTTTTCAGACAGTTTAATATAATATAAGCTGATTATAAGGCGTCGAGTTTCATATCAAAATGTTCATCTCTTAATTTCTTGAGTAATGGGCTATTACACATCTTTCAACAAGACTCTTGATACACTAATCAGAGAAAAAAGGGACACCAAACTGCCAGCCCACTCTGATCATGTAAATTACACCGTTTTCATTGGTCAAGCCAAACTCATGAGGTGTGACTTTGCCAGAAGTTAAAAGGCCACTATTCAGTGACCCTTTAGCTGGTTACTGTTTGTGTGGAGAAGACTGGAGACATTGACTAAACTAAACAGAGGTTTAGCTTAAGCTGTGGTCCCTTTGTTACAAAAGCACTGATGGTTTCTGTTCAGGTGAACTGACTCTTACTCTTCTCACAGCTTTATTCCCCTGGTTTCTATAACAGTTTCATTCTTTCACTTTTACTTCCCCTTGTTACCATGTATCTGCGTGAGTGTTTGTGTAGACTAGTTATGTATCAGCGTTTTAGTTAATAAAATGTATGTGCACAATATCATGAGTTTGGTTTCTGTGGTCACTGCTTGCAGACAAAATTCTTTTAAAGAGCTGATCTTGCTACATTTTCTGTGGCCACGAAAATAACATTTATAAGTGTTTATTTAAATTATACTTAATATTGAGTGGATGAACAGATTAGTTGATTGTTATATTGATTCTGTTACAGTACTGGCAGATGATGTAAATAATTATAATTAATTGTAATTATTTACGTACATTTCCCCTTTGAGCTAATATGCAGTTAATTTAGCTACTTTAACACACACCTACAGGAGTTTGTGAGTGTTTGTTAAACTCTGTACCGGTCAAACAGTAAATGACAGACAGATCCAAATTCAGAAGATGAAACAAACATTATTATTTAGTAATATTATCAATACAATCAAAAACATTAGAAGTTAATACATTTAATATGTATTAAATTTAAGTAAACAGTAGTGAATAATCAACAGAAAATACACACCATGCAGCAAAATATGAATATAGTGTAAACTCTTGCAACAACAGCTGGTTTATTTTCATGTATTACTCACCAGATATCAGACACTTGTTGACCTGTGAGCTGCTTTCAATGACAGGCAACGAGACAGGTGCTTTAAAACAACAGGGAAATAAATCCCCAAAATGTTTCTTAATATATTCTTTCTCAAAAACATAAATAAATGCAGCATTTAGAGCATTTTTCCTATGTAAGAGGAAAGATTGAAACAGTGTAACTCACCATAAACCATAACACTGAATCTTTTAAATGTGGTCATCGCGTTCATAATCTGTGCCGTATAGAGTCCAGAGTGACTGGTTGTGATGTTTCTGACGGTGAGAGATCCCGTCTGCTGGTCCATCTGCAGTCTGTCTTTAAATCCCTCATAACTGTCATATATAGAGATGCTCAGCTTGTAGATTTCAGCAATGAGAGTGTCTGGATTCTCAGGTCCAAACAGCCACAGTATCTGCTTCTCTCTGTAAATCTCACAAACACCAGTATGTAATACTACAGAATCTCCAGTCATCACTGATATTGTCTTGATTTCATCTGTCTCAGCACCAAAAGCACCTGGAGAACAAGAGCGGCATGCATTTTTCTTTCAACAAGAAACAGCAAAGACAAATAGAAGACAAACTGAAATTTGACTTACCACATAAAATGAGCAGAATCAAAGCTAACCGATTACAGACAAGCATTTTCCTTCAGTGTAGCCTACTTCAAACATTTACGGTCTGTCCAGGTTTAAAGCAAAACCTTTTGATCGCATGTCAATGAGGTCTGATGGTTTTTAATGCGAAGTGCCCTTCACCTACACATAAACAGCAGCAGTTATGAGAGTGTCTGGATTCTCAGGTCCAAACAGCCACAGTATCTGCTTCTCTCTGTAAATCTCACAAACACCAGTATGTAATACTACAGAATCTCCAGTCATCACTGATATTGTCTTGATTTCATCTGTCTCAGCACCAAAAGCACCTGGAGAACAAGAGCGGCATGCATTTTTCTTTCAACAAGAAACAGCAAAGACAAATGGAAGACAAACTGAAGTTTGACTTACCACATAAAATGAGCAGAATCAAAGCTAACCGATTACAGACAAGCATTTTCCTTCAGTGTACTTCAAACATTTACGGTCTGTCCAGGTTTAAAGCAAAACCTTTTGATCGCATGTCAATGAGGTCTGATGGTTTTTAATGCGAAGTGCCCTTCACCTACACATAAACAGCAGCAGTTGTGTATCTGCCCACAAACCACATCCCTTTAGCTCAGATGATCTAAATAAAAATGCCACTCAGTTCATCTGCTGGTGTAAATGACCAGCTTTTATAGCATATTATACACGCAGGCAAATATTTTATACACTCATGTTTCTCGTTTCACTCAGAAGAGCTGAAGTTGTGCTAGTATAAAGCAGGATGATGAAGTTCACCTCTGTACACTCAAAATCACACAAGTCTGCTGTTCAGAGTCGCCACACTGTTATGTTAAGTGCTCAAGCAACGAGTAATGATTTGTACTTTATGAGCGAATTATCTCTTTAAGTCTAAAGGATTGGTTTTTACCCAGTTTTTCCTAAAAAGGTGTTATTGTTTCACACAGTGAATGTATATATCAGAGTTTATACAGGCCAATGTAATTATGCTGATGAGAAACACTTGAAAACAATCACCTCAGGTGTTCAGTGAGTGAGACCTCTGGGGGCGGCTGTAAGACCGCCGCCACCGCGGTCCTGTGTCTGAATTCTGAGGAGGCAGACTATAAAAGTTGTTACAAACAATGCTGATGTGTCTGATAACCTCCTACATTTTCTGATTGTGACTGACTTTCTGCTGCCATCTACTGGTCAAGTCATGCAAATGCATTTGCTTAATATTTATAATTACTACAATACTAGTTTCTTGCTAGAATAACATCATCATTGGAAACGTTGTTAAAAACCTATAGCGACACAAAAACAGACCACAAACATTTTAGACACCATTTTATTTTTTTAGCTCAAATGTCACAGAATTGAAAACACAGGATTGTGGGACATCAGGCAGCAAATGACACAACTATGCTGCCTTCAAAAATCGATCAGATAAGCTCTTGGTAGTTGAGGCCCCAACGAGTTTATTTTCATATTAAACATTGAATCAGACATGTATCACTCAGTTTAGCGCTAAAAATACAATTTGTAGGCTATTAACGCTCTGGGATGTCGTCATTTATAAATGACACTACTAAAATTGCGTTTAAAATACAATATTAATGTTCAGCCAACAAAATTTTATTTTAGTGATGTCAAATGACATCCCCTTCAACCAATAAAATTAAAATGTATTTACCATGTGCACATTTCTGGTAACAAAGTTGTAAAGTATAGCACATGTTAGGTCACATGCTCTAAAGCAGGGGTGCCCAAACTCGGTCCCGGAGGGCCGGTGTCCTGCAGAGTTTAGCTCCAACTTGCCTCAAC